TCATTTTATGACCAAAAATTGCTAATAGAAAACAAGTAAATAATCAGTAGAATATGTATTAGCAACATTATTAACAACAACCACAGAAAAATCATAGCCACACCACCCACATATATATATATATATGATGACATACCAAGTACGATAGTTTCGACTGAAGTGGCACCAATAACTCTTATACGATAAGTTTTCGATGCTTCAACTTGAAACACCGAGTCACCTTTAAGATTATCATCAATCAATATCTCAGATGGGTCACCAACAGCAGTAAAATTGTTTGGATCTGTTACTCCTTTTAGCAATACTTGATCACTGTTAGTCCATAAATCTGAAAGCATTAGTATAAAGGGTTCATCTGTGACACCGTATGGAAACTCTTCAAATGCACCATAATCTGTTGGTGGAGTCGTGTCTCTTACGATGAATGCTCCATGACCTGTTATTGCTGACAAGGCCCAATGTGAATGATAACTAAAGAAACACGAATGGATAAAAAAATATTTTTGTTATTAATTATATAACTCACCACACCGCACAGGGTCAGCGTTGCGATTGGAGATTTTACTATACTTTTTGGTAATTTTGGACATTGGCGCAGCCGATCACATCCAAATACCAAAAAGGTATAGTGTAATGTCCAATTGTGTCAACGCTGACTGAGAAGTATTATTTAACATGTCCAAATTAATAATTACTTACAAAAAAGTTCCGGCTTGTTTTGCGTCAATTGAGAATTCGTACAAATAATTTTGACCGGGTAAGGTTGGAAGCTGAGTTATAAATGGAACACCGTCTGCCAATCCATTAATAATAGTCTTTCCGGTCTCATTCACAGCAAAATTATAATTATGTTGTAAAATGCCATGAAAATGTATAGTGAACGCATCAATATTATCCTTGCTAATAACGTCAAGATCGGTAAAATTATTATTACTAATATAATCTCTTTTTCGTTTATTGCTTCTTTTAGTAGTAGAAACAATATTGTTTATTATTCTTATTCTCATCAAATCACCCGGATCACATATTATTGTTGGTAGCGGATATACACCATTGCCATGAATTGCCATTCGTTTAGGGTCATCTTTTAGCGGAGCATAAGTGATAGCTATTTCAAAGTTTCTTGTGATTGAATAAGATGACGGCAATTGAATTAATAATATTAATGCAACTAATATTAATATTCTATTAGAAAAAGCGAAGGAAATTGCCATTTTTCTTTTTTTTTCGTTATATTATGAAAAATTATTTCCTGACTTTTGGAATTCATTTTTGATCACACTTTATATAACAATATGATAATCTATAAATAGAAAAAAACTCTAATGAATTAAACTCCATAAATACTTTTTTTTAAATTGTTTTGGAATATTTGTTAAATATTTACAAAACTCATCAAGGGGTTGTAAACATATTCATTCTTTACTGTCATTTGCATTTTTGTGATCATAAGTACTAGAACTTCTGTTGCATGATACGATATTGGTGAAAAATAATAATTATTATTTATTTTTAAAACAATCTTATTGTATGCTTAATAAAGATTTTTGGTATCCATTTTACTAAAAAAAAGCGGTCCGGGTTGCTTTATTTATGATTTCCGTATTCCGTATTCTTTGTGTATTTTTTTTACAAAATGATTTTTCCTAAATGATTCTTCTTTTAAATATTTATAATTACACAACCCGTTTTTTACAAAGTTGGAAATTTTTCCTTGACGCCAAAATGTATGTGTCACCCAATTTAAAACAATTAGATAATTATTATCATCAGTCAGTGTAATTGAATATTTTCATAAATGACCATAGTATAAGGTTCGTTCTAAAAATACTTTTGTAGTCGTTGCGAGGAGAATCCGAGTATTTGGTATAATAATAATAACTTTACACTATTCTAATTTTTCCCTCCTGAGCTAGGAGTCGCAAAATTAATTTTCTTTGGCATGATAATTTTCCAGGCATGATAATTTTCTAGGTTGTTTCTTTGAATTTTTGCCGCATTCTGTCTGCACGAACGATGATTTTAATTTTCGCTTGACTAAAATTCAACATGTATTTATAGAGTTTTCTTAAACTATGGAATTGCGCAGTTGCTTTACACAGCCTCCACTCAGAATAGTGTAACCTGATTGAAAAGAGGTTTGAATCCGGTTTGAATGATTATAATAATGAGAAATCAAGGTTACTATTTTGATCACACAATTAAATATGGGTTTTGTCGATCTATTTTACATCGGAAAAAAATGCCACAATAACAATAATAATAATAATAACAGGACCTCGGATAATTATGATTGAGCTAGTAGCATGTAAAGCATCATATAAAAGGTTGTAACCTCTATTCCGAACACCTTGCTAAAAACGATAATATAGTGTATTTTTTAAAAAAATTTCAATTTTTATTATGCAAATGCTTAAGGTTTTGCTGGTGTTTTTTACAAGATCACTACCACATTTTCAAAATTTAAATGTTAGCATTGGATAAAAAAATTTCCAAGATTAAATATTAAATTTAAAGATAGTCCTAGGCACGTGAAACTTTCCTTTAAGAAAAACTGTTTAAATCTACTAGACTTGAGTTGTAATAACAAGAATTGTTGTAACTGTATGCGAGAAAAAAAAACTTGTAAAACATTTTTCGCCATATTCTAACTTGCCATAACTGACAAGATAATTCACAATTAGACTTGTTGTAATAATTAAGAATTCCTGTTTTTTCTTTGTAACTGCATGCAAGATGAAAAAACAAGTTTTTTCACCACCCATGATTGATAAAAATCGACAGACAGATATAGTAAAAAGACTCGTTTTTAACAGAATAATCACTTTTTATGTCGAAAAAATAACACAAAAATACAAATAAAGATATATTAAAAAATTTAAATTTTGCATTATTATTTATAATTAAACATTTTTCTTATCTAGCCCAATAACATGACATTAATAACAAAGATTTGTTACTGTTAGTTGATGGTTGCTGTAAATATAATAATCAACCCAATATTTAAATTTTACTTTAATTAAATATATTTTGAACAAATTGTTAATTATAATACAGTGTGATATTATCCAATTTCCCAATATTTATCACAAAGTAATTATCTAATCTCACCACCCTCTTCTCCAATAAAGGTCCGTAATAATAGTTAAATTATGATTCCTATATAGTCACAAAAAGAGGTTTTGTTGAAAATTATTTGTGATAGCAAAAACGAATATGTAATGGTGGTGGTGATTGCATTTATTACAACGCGTCATCATTCTAGTTTACATTAAAACTTTGACTTTACTTCATAGAAAATCAGAAGCTGCTGATATTCGAGATGTGGCAAGTAATAAGTAAAAAAAAAATTTCCGAATAGTTAGGGTTAATTGCTTTGTTTTTAATGATCGAGGAAAATATGCCACCCTCGAATGAAGGTGTCCTTTTAAATCCAATAAAACATTTAAAAAACTGGAAAAATTAGAAATTCGATTCTTAGAGAAAATTAATAACTGGGAGAACGTTTGAAACAAACGAGGTACAACAACAAACAGAAAAGAATTTATCTTGATATCAAAGACGCGAACAATAAACAATTGAATAGTAGAATATTTCATGATTATTAAAGGCAACATAAACATTGAAAACGGAAACACCAAAAAACAATATTGGAAATAATTTTGGGGCTCAAATTTTTAAACCATTACAGTGTCAAAGACCATTCTGACCATATCACCTTCCTATGATGTGATGATGCGATTTAAATTTTGGTGGGTGACTGTAGCTCTGAAGTTTAGCAGAAAATTACATTGTTGTCAAAGAGACTGTAACCGGCTTTTAAAGCTCTCTTTGTTCAAAACCTCCAAGTTTGCGGCGCTCGCCAATTTATATAGTGTTGGAGCATGCTGACATTTTTGTAATACGGCTCGCTTTTTTGTAAATGGAAATATTTCTATTAACTCTACTACATCGCCTAAGCTTAATTAATGTGTTAGAGTTAGTAATGTTCATTTTATTTTTTTAGGAATAAAAAGAAAAAACTCCTTTTGTATGGGAGACAATAAAGCTATTTGTGAGTATTGCCTATTCTTTGGGCTCTCTGAAGGAAATCTATCAATAGTATTGCTATTATTATAACCATCATCCACCTCTTTCTTCTTTTCCATTCTGAATTGCTCCTATCATTTTTTTACCCTAAGATTGTTTTTTTATTGGCAGATATTTTTTATAGCAGAAGCAGCACCCCTTTTTATAACTCGTGCGGGTTTCAATTGCCCAGTTTATTGAATGAAAAATCCGAGTCTGGTCGCGCCTTTTATCGTACACAATTAAAATTTCAATTTCTCGCAAGCACTTTTGTTCATTAATTGGTTTCATCAATTTGCAATAGAACTAGTCCTTACAGTTTTTATAGTAAAGCAAAAGGCTCGACTAAAAAAACTTTGGTTGGAATATCGCCTTTATCAAACACATTTTATGGACTATCAAAACTCAGTATTGTGTTTATATTGTTCCCAATGCAAATAAAAGAAAGATTTATTTATTTCAAACAAAAAAATATTGTATTATAGTAGAGACTCGATGCGTAATACTTGTAAAACTGTTTCGGGTAGTTTATTTTTCTTTTGTGAACGATTATGATAAGAATCAATCAAGAATTAATAATACTATAATGAATAATAAAAATGAGAACCAAAAATGAAACCAAAAATGTTAAACAACTGTCTAGTTTGATCCCTGAAATTTTTGTGGCATCACTTTGTCTATTACTATATAACAAATAATGATTTTTTTATTTTTCTGCAAAAGATTCTATATTTATATAATGATAATAATATCCCCCCAAAAAATATATATAAGAGATGCATTTTTTTTTTTTGAAAGGAGGAATTTTCTAATTTGTTTATTATATATCATTTGATGTTTTAACATTTTTCATTATTACGAAGCCACTAAAAAATAAATGGAAAATTTAGTATTATTCATTTATATCAAAGTCAAGCAAAGAGTGCAATATACTAAAACTTACTGTAATCGTTTACTTCGACTTCGGCTGGCATTTCAGTAATGTTTACTTCAAACCTTTCCTGTACTTTGAATAAAATGTCTGCGTCGTCTTGATCGGCTACAAAAGTGATTGCAATTCCCTTAGTACCAAACCGTCCTGCACGACCAACCTAGTATTTATAATCACGTGGATTAATTATCAGCAATAGTAATTATTTTATTATTCTTTAGTTGTGCCATCTATTACTTACTCTATGCAAATAACTATCAGGACCATCAGGCATATCATAATTAACGACTATATTAACACGTTCAATGTCAATTCCTCGTCCAAAAACATCTGTGGCGACCATTATTCTTTTTTGAAAATCCTTAAATGATTTATATCTGGCAATCCTATTATTATTAAATATTTTAAAGGTAAAAATAAAATAATTTGATCAACAATCCATTATCACTTACATACACACATACACACACACACACACACATATATATCAACTACCTTTCTTCCTGTTTCATTCCACCATGGATACAGATGCTTGGGAAATTGCAATCACACAATAACCTATTTAATTCATTCGCTCGTTGAATAGATTTGACAAAAATACACACTTGATTAAATTCAAGCGTGTCTAATAAATCGTTTAACTGGCGATTCTTTGAACCTTCAGTCAACTTGATGTAATACTGTTGTAGACCATGTAATGTAAGTTTAGCCTCATCATCAACATAAATCTCTAATGGCTACAAAGTCAAAGAAAGGAGAAATTACTAAACAGGAAACAAATTAGAAAAAAATCACTGTTAGCATCCCCCTTACATTTTGCATGAATTTTTTACATATCGGTCGAATTTCTTTACTTAAAGTAGCACTAAACATCATTACTTGTTTACTATGTGGTGTTTTACGAAAGATTGCTTGAACATCTCGTCTCATATCTAATTAAATCAAGAATAAGAATAGTAATAACGTATCAATCAATAAATAATAATTTGAAATTTTATACAAACAAAATAAACTGATTGATTGATTGATTAATTGATTGTATAATTTTAATCTCATAAAGTTTTAGTTGTAACCTTAGATGAGAGTTATATTTTTTCATTATTTTTAAATAACTATAATATAAATAAATAAATAAATAAATAAATAGTTTCTGCACCTAATTGATCCAACATTTTATCACATTCATCGAGTACAAAATGTTTAACACTGCCGGCTTTAAGATGTCCATCGTTGACCAATGCCAACACTCTTCCAGGTGTTCCTACTAGGATATGTGGAATAGTATCTTTACTTGATAATTTTTTATAATCTTCTCTAATCGGAATACCTCCGTAGAAAACATCAGTTTTGATTTCTGGCATATATCTGCTAAATCTAGTATATTCGCTTCTGATCTGAAATGCTAATTCACGAGTGTGACAAAGCACAACAACAGACACTTCTCCTGGTGTAGGATCCGCTTGTTGAAGTGTTGCAAGAACAAATACTGCTGTTTTTCCCATACCAGATTTAGCTTGACACAACACGTCCATTCCCAAAATTGATTGAGGGATACATTCTTGCTGAACTAGTTTTTTTTTATTTGTAAAATTGTTGGTATGTTATTATTTAAATATTGATAGATAGATAGGTAGATAGGTAGATGATGTATGCGTTGAAATTAACCTTCACTTGGATGTTCAAAACCACAGTCAACAATAGCACGTAAAAGTTCTGGTTTCAATAAAAAATCTCTGAATCCAGTAGAGTGAATACCAACATAACTTCCCTTTGTATCTTTTTTATCGTCGTTTTCTTCCTGACCATTGTCAATAGATTGTTCTGGCTGAACAAGTTCAGAATGGGTAACATCATCTTCCTCCTCATAATCAATCAAATCGTCATTCATTTTTATTTTTTTACGCGTATGTTTTGTTTAACGTTTATTTATAAGAGTGAAGGAAGGACTGTTAGTTAATTATAAGTCAAATCAATCAATCGATTAAGACTGATGAGGTAGGTTAGTTTTAAAAAAAAAATTTATTTTAATTGATGATCAACAAGAAATTATTTGGATTTTTATTTTCATCATCTTTAAAAATTAAATTTACATTATTTATTATTATTGATCTTATTATTGATTTTTTGCTGATTTGTTTGCCGATTTTGTTGTTGATTTTGTTCCATTGGTTGCTGTTCCTGTTGTTTTTGTTGTTCCTGGATAGGTGTTGTATAAGATGATCTTAGAGTATTAAAATATGAAAGGTAATCGTAGTTAGGGTCGTAATTGTTCGATTGACTGCATTGATTATATGGATTGTATGGATTGTATGGATTGTACGGATTATATGGATAACATTGTAACTGATTTTCAGTCATTGTTACAGGTTTGGTAATCGGTCGTGATGGTGGTGATTTTCGTGGTGGTGATTTTCGTGGTGGTAATTTTCGTGGTGGTGATTTTCGTGATGATTTCTGTGGTGGCTTTTTTTTTCGAGGCCGTAATATCAAACCTCCATCATCACTCTCATCTTTATCATATAAACAATATAAATAATAATAAAGCAATTTGATATACCAAATCATTAATTATGAATGTAAAGTATGTACCATTGATTCTCGATACATTAGATTGTCGTCTCATATTATCATTATTGCTATTATTTCTATTATTATTATCATTCCTGATGTTCGTTTCATTATGTTGTTGATCTAGCATGGGACTTTGTTATAACAGTAATGTACTTAATGGAGGGATTATACATATATAATATGAATTTAATCAACAATAATAATTGAATTCACACCTTGACCGATTTAACAATTCACTTATGACATCGATATCATCATTATGATTAATAACTGGAAGATGATGTTCTCCTAGATTTGGTTTTGGTGTTCTTGACGTTGGGCATGACTTCTACCATGTAAATAATAATCATCATTATTTGTTAAATAATTAAATATGGTTTTTTTTTGAACAATATGATAATGTTTAATTACCTTATTTGATGATTTTTGATGATTTATATTCTTGTTTATATTGTTGTTATTATTGTTACTCTTATTATTACGGCTGCCAAGTTTCAATAAATATATTTATTTTATATTTATATATATAATCAATCAATGAATCGATATTACTTTTAAATATTTATTATCATTCACCTGTTTCCATCTGATCGATTTGAAGATTGATTAGCATTTTCATTCATACTTAACAGATTTTTTAACTGGACATTCTCATTTGCAAGATTGATCAATTGACTGATTATAAAAAAAAAATATTATTATTTTCATTAATTAAATCAAATTGTCATTATTTATTTTAATCAATAAAAAAATCAGTAAAGAAGGATCGTTTACCTTTCCAATTCCCTGTTCTCGTTATTTGCTTTATCAAGCATAGTTTCTTGTTGTGCCACTTTATTTTTCAAATGATTGATGATTGATTTAGTATTGGATTGCTGAAACTATTTTATTAGACGAAATAAATTAATTATAGTAATTAAGTAATTGTAATCACCATCATTTATTATTATATTATTACTGATTGATTGATTTTACCTTAAAAACATCGGAAATTCCGTCCAACGTCTCATTAAATGGTTGGAAAAAAGATGATAGCCTATGGTCAAGCTTGTGATTGTGATTATTATTATGAATATTATAATAAAAATAATGTTATTTCAAGAGGAAAAAACGCGCAATTTGCTTTTTGTGGTTTCTTTCTTTCTTTCTTGATATCACTACTTACATCCTTATTACATTCAACAATTGCGCATTTTTCATTGCAAAATAAACAAATATTTGCATTACGTCTCGAGGAAGATTTATCTAAAATTTTATTGAGAATTTTATCCGATCAACTAGATCAACTAAAAAAAACCAAACTCCTTTACTAAAAAAAGAACAATACCTTGGCTGTTATTGTTATCGTTATTGTTATTGTTATTGTTATCAACTGTAGTGGTAGCACTGCAACTACCTTCTTCGACCTTGATTCCCTTACCAACGCCACTTTGTTTATTACCATCATTACCGTGTTTATTGACACAAGAATTACAAATTACTCGTCCACATTGGGTTAACGAAAATCTTATTTCTTTATTTTTGGAAAAAGAGGTTGAATAGGCAAAACACGCGTTGCAATGTAAAAATATATCATTGTTCATTGTATGTTTTTTTTGGGGGTTTTTTTTGAAATGTGTGATCTATTTTATTATATTTGATCTACAAGCTGAGATATATAGTAACACGAACTAAAATGTTGTCTCTCACACTCTCTCACTCACAAATAAATTTAAAGAATCTTATAAATCAGTCGATTCTGTTAAATCGTGCTACAACAAAAAACTGTGAAATCTGCCCACACCGACAAGGTTTCCAGTGCAAGGTTCAACTTTTTCTTTCCAAAAAATATATATATATCACGAATATCTTGAGCTTATTATTATATGGTGAGTGGATTTTTGATTTTAATCTCCTGTTGAAATGAGAAATAGTTATAGATTGATTACCAGTTGAGGCAGCGTGCGTGACGCATACGGTGGAGATCACCTATAGTCAAATTTGTTGATATATAGTAACAACAACAATTGGTCGGCTTTCAAATATTATTAATTATTACAAAAAAAATCGTGTAACTTCGTGTAACAAAAATATTAAAAGAAAATTATTACCAAATTTGGTCATATTTATTCGCTTTTTGAATATTAAAGATAAAAATTACACTATTTATTTATTCTATAAATAAATTATAAAAAAAAATGAATTATAAATGAATTATAAATGAATTATAAATGGATTATAAATGAATTATAAATGAATTATAAATAAATTATAAAGGATAATAAAAATTGGTATAATCATTAACATTTGGAAAAATTAATTTAAAAAATGCATGAATACTAAAAAAATTAAAATTATGAAGGATTATTCTTTTCATCTAAATATGATATTAATGCTGACGTGGTGAAGGATGGCAATTCCTCAACTGCTTCTTCGAACACAGCCATCATACCCATTAACATATGAGGTGCAATATGACAATGTACAATCCAAGCTCCAGGATTGTCAGCTACAAATCTAACCAATCTCCATCCACACCCATCACCTTCTTTTGCTGTTTCAGAGGGTGGATCAGCATAAACAGTTGTGGTATCTCTTGTAACCGGAAGCTTCGCAATCTTGGTCTTATCAAGTCCATTTGGATACAATCCAGGTCCATGGGTAATTTCCCAAAATTTATGACCGTGTAAATGCCATGGATGATATTCACAACCTCCTGCTGAGCTGATCGTACTTTGAAATACTAAATCAATAACTTCATTCTTCTTGAGCGGATAAGACTTACGAGTCGCATCATATCCATTAACATCCAGAGCATTATAATCAATAACCTTTGGTCTTATACCAGTAATCAAATCCAGTAGTATGGGAGTTGAAAAATCTTCAAATACTACACCGTTAATATTAATTCTTACTATTCTTCCTCCTTTTGCTGTAATTGTGGCGTTTTGACGTTGTACCAGAACTATTGTGCGATCAGCAGCTTTAGTCGGTATTGGCTCAACGTCTGCCAACATTTCGAAAGTTATTGGTGGAGATTGTTCTGGTAAAACTGGAATACCACTTGGTGGAGTAGCGGAATTTACGTATCTTAAGATTGCTGTTGCATTTTTTCCGCTGGTTGGTAACTCTTCACGTAATCTGATTTCACCATAAATATTATAATCACCGGGAGGTTGATCTGCAGTAACTAATACTGAGTATCTTTGTCCTGGAGCTACTTCTAATGAGTCAACTACCACTGGCTTCACGAATGAACCTTCAACCTCTTTATTAGGTAGGAAGGAATAATTAGGAATAATTAAATTAATCAATTGTACTATAATATTTTAATTTTTATAAATATTTATTTATATGATTTTTTTTTACTTACCAATAATTGTCATTTTATGACCAAAAATTGCTAATAGAAAACAAGTAAATAATCAGTAGAATATGTATTAGCAACATTATTAACAACAACCACAGAAAAATCATAGCCACACCACCCACATATATATATATATATGATGACATACCAAGTACGATAGTTTCGACTGAAGTGGCACCAATAACTCTTATACGATAAGTTTTCGATGCTTCAACTTGAAACACCGAGTCACCTTTAAGATTATCATCAATCAATATCTCAGATGGGTCACCAACAGCAGTAAAATTGTTTGGATCTGTTACTCCTTTTAGCAATACTTGATCACTGTTAGTCCATAAATCTGAAAGCATTAGTATAAAGGGTTCATCTGTGACACCGTATGGAAACTCTTCAAATGCACCATAATCTGTTGGTGGAGTCGTGTCTCTTACGATGAATGCTCCATGACCTGTTATTGCTGACAAGGCCCAATGTGAATGATAACTAAAGAAACACGAATGGATAAAAAAATATTTTTGTTATTAATTATATAACTCACCACACCGCACAGGGTCAGCGTTGCGATTGGAGATTTTACTATACTTTTTGGTAATTTTGGACATTGGCGCAGCCGATCACATCCAAATACCAAAAAGGTATAGTGTAATGTCCAATTGTGTCAACGCTGACTGAGAAGTATTATTTAACATGTCCAAATTAATAATTACTTACAAAAAAGTTCCGGCTTGTTTTGCGTCAATTGAGAATTCGTACAAATAATTTTGACCGGGTAAGGTTGGAAGCTGAGTTATAAATGGAACACCGTCTGCCAATCCATTAATAATAGTCTTTCCGGTCTCATTCACAGCAAAATTATAATTATGTTGTAAAATGCCATGAAAATGTATAGTGAACGCATCAATATTATCCTTGCTAATAACGTCAAGATCGGTAAAATTATTATTACTAATATAATCTCTTTTTCGTTTATTGCTTCTTTTAGTAGTAGAAACAATATTGTTTATTATTCTTATTCTCATCAAATCACCCGGATCACATATTATTGTTGGTAGCGGATATACAGTAGCATGTAAAGCATCATATAAAAGGTTGTAACCTCTATTCCGAACACCTTGCTAAAAACGATAATATAGTGTATTTTTTAAAAAAATTTCAATTTTTATTATGCAAATGCTTAAGGTTTTGCTGGTGTTTTTTACAAGATCACTACCACATTTTCACCATACCGGTTCAATTATTATTATACGAGGTCCTATAATAACTGCATTTGCGATGTGATAATCATAATCGTGACCGCATGTTGACGCCAACTTTTAATAACAATAATCTAGAAGAGAAGATAATAATAACAATAGCATAATAATGACAAGCAACAATAATAACAACAACACAAAGAATTCAAATTTAGCTTGATTAAAATTCAAAATCAAACCTTGAATTGTTTGTTTTCTATGTTACCTACCTTAATTATTTTCAGATACCATTTTTGGCTTTGAGATACAGCGTGTCACAAAAAATTTAATTGTTACTGTCACCCAATTATGATGATAACGATAAATTTTGATCATGGAAATTCGGCTGTCTATTCAGTTAGTCATCTCGTGTAATGTGTAATTGGCTTAAACTGCGAATTAGCCATTTTCGTCGTTAATTGCGTTAAAAATAATAATACAAAAATAAAAAAATAAAAATAATAATACAAAAATGAAATAATACAAAAATAATAATAAAAAAATAATAATAAAAATAAAAAAATCTATTAATCCGGAATTAGAGTTTCAAACTCTAAACCCTTATTGCATAACTTTACTAAAATTTGGTAATTCATCTTTTAAAATGGGTAATAGGATTGAATTTGTTTTTTTTTGCAATTGAATATTAAAGTAAAGGGAATACACTCACTCAATAAATTACATCGAATTACAAGCATTCAATACTCAAATATCTGTTTCACTATTAATAAGTTGAAGGAAACAGGTGATACGGAATTAATTGTTAGAAATGGACGGAATTTACTAATCACACGACACATACGATTTATATACAGTTTAATATTAAAAAATTTTAATTGATGAATTCGCCTATCAGAGAAATGCCGATCAATTTATTATCTCTTAAATGGTCAGAGTATTCTTTAATGGTAACACAAATTAAAATTTTGATCATTCTTATTGGTCAATTAACGATCAGCAAAGTAAAAACAGTCAATCGACCAACTTTTAAAGAGGATTTTACAAAAACCACAGGGACAATAACTGATTTTTATTTATAGATTAATCGGCTGAGTCTCAAAGATCATTTTCGTATTACGGTACAGATCATCTATAACCATTAATTGCTTATAGTAACAATTGGTCAACTTCAAAATACTAAAACAAAAAAAATTATATCATTTTAAAAAATTTAACCGATAAGTTTTATTGTTCATGACTCAAGCATCAAAACTTATCGGCCGGTTTTTTCTTAAACTGAAAATTGGCAGAGCCTTAGCATTTTGAAAATTCCAAATTTTGTTATACATTTAAGAAATTGAGACTAAGTAAATTTCGTGTAACAACTTTTTTCATAGAATATTTTCTACAACATACATTTGATTTGTTTGATTTTATTTATTTCCTTTTTTTTATTAATAAATAAAAGTTCTTTACAACAAAAAAGTTTAACAAACATATTACATTAAAAGAAAATCATTATCAAATTTGGTCATGAGATCCAAAATATTGTAACATGAAAATTTATTGTTGCACTAATCATAACTAAAAAATCTATGAAAAAGAAAATTTGAGACAAATTTTTTTTTAGATTAATAGACTCCCGCTGAATTGAATGGTGGTGGTTTTTTAAAATCCAATGTGTGGATCACATAATATTTCAAAAATTTTAACTTTTGAGTATAGATGATTCAGGAGTTTTGAGAATCTACTATTTCCTCACGTGATGAATGTGAGTCACACAACCGCGATAAGTTTTTTTTGTTCTATATAATACTAAAAAGAGTAATTAATACATATATTTTTATTGGATAAATTAATCCTACATAATTATTTTTAATTGCTTGAATCTTTATACAAAACCTTTAAATTTTATATAAAAATTTTAGGCAGGAATCCAGTGATTCCTACATATAAACATAAAATATTGTATAAGAAACTACCTTTGAAAAGTTGTATATTTAAACTTCGAGATTCATATTATTTGTTAAAAGTGCCCTGCAAAAAAATTAAAAGAAAAATG